ATTTTACGGAATACTGTACAATCGTATCAGTATTAGTTTACAGTACAATTTTACGGAATACTGTACAATCGTATCAGTATTAGTTTACAGTACAATTTTACGGAATACTGTACAATCGTATCAGTATTAGTTTACAGTACAATTTTACGGAATACTGTACAATCGTATCAGTATTAGTTTACAGTACAATTTTACGGAATACTGTACAATCGTAAAAGTGGCAGTGCAATTGTACTAGTAAAATTGCACTGTATACTGTATTCCGTAAAATTGCACTGTATACTGATACGATTGCACTGTATTCCGTAAAATTGCACTGTATACTAATAAGATTGTATAGTGTTCCGTAAAATTGCACTGTGTTCCGTAAAATTTCACTGTATATTTTGGCACCCCTGATACACTTTCATGAATCGCAGTGATTTTCATACTGTTAAAAGTAGATGTCACGCATTTATTTGACGGTTGTGTTGATGTATTTGTTTTCTTCTTATAGTACAAGCACTTGCAAGGAAACTTAAAGTTTCTCTGTCATCTTGATTCTTGTATATGATCAACGTTTATACATGCCATATTTCCAAGGCGATTAAGATTTTGACCTTTCAAAGGCCTCTTGCACAGTGTTGCCCGACCATCGTCTATGAAAGTAGGATTAGTAGTATTACGATTATTATATGAGTTGTGTTTTTTTGTCTAGGTTGGCGAATGACTTTCATTACATGATCATGATGATGGGTGGTTGCTTTGACACGCAACAGTTTTTAGTTATATTGAAACTTTAATAGGCAACAGTGGTCCCGTTTCCCCAATCTTTTAGTACGACGTCGTACTTTATTTCTTCCATTGAAGAAACTGTGAAGTATCTCCAGTCCAGCATATATAACGTTACATGGTACAATAAAATGAGTGGGTAGTGATATATGTTGATTTCATTATATGGATGACATCCTCTATGAATCCCAAAATTGATGCGCGCGTGCGAATAAAAAAAAAAAGTTTTGCAAAAAAAAACTTGTTGTCATTATGAAATCTACGTGGTTATGAAGGTTGAATAAATAACACAGAGTATGGTATGGCGAATATATTATATTCTTCAAATTCATTTCTTTACATTTTCGTGTTTTTCGTTTGATTTTGGCATTCTACAACATTAGTATCGTTTTCTAATATATATATATATATATATATATATATTTGCAACTTATCTATTTGGTCATTTTGCGACTGTTTTGTACAATTTACAGTATGGTTGAAAACTTTTTTTTGGAAACGGCCGAAAATTCATGCGCGCGTGGATGTCATCCATATAATCAAATCGGCAAAGCGCGATTTCTGAGGTGTGATTTCTAATATTTCGCCAGGGGGCGTTTCACACATACCCAGCATTCCCTGGACACACGCGCCTGCGCGTTGCCAGCCTGTACGCGATTTCCGGAGTGCGAAGCCTGCAAACTTGCGGAGGTTTTCCCCTGATTTCAGCGGCTTCTCAGACCTCTACACTCATACCATGATGTCCAGCCTGCCAAGGAGAATCATCAAGGTAAACATTAGCTTTCTAAGACGTCTTAAATTACCGTAAAACTGGCTTAAATCGCCGTTTTCCGCACGTGACATCCAGACCTAGCTCAGGTGGGATGTAGGCCCAAACGGCCCGTCCAAAATGGCGACCCCTTGAATATTTTCAGCGAGTTGCAAAATACTTTGTCTTATGTATTGTTTGTTGCCGTTCTTTTAAAACCCTCTCGTGGAGAACTGAAATATGCGACGTGTTTTTAGATACCGGGGTCTCGGGTTGACAATGTATTATGCATAACACGGAAGCCGCAAGTCTTGGTACATGACAAAGCGTATTTTTTCTGAGGAAAACGCCCGCAAAAAAAATCGCCCGGAGGAAGAAAGAAAAGTGTGGAAACAAACGACATGTTTTCTGACTCTCCTCCCATCTTTGATATCGGTGACAAAGTTTGTCATCTTTATCCAAAATTCCGGCAAATTTATCGCTTCTTTGCTACAGTTTTGTCATTGTTTAACTGCTGAAGACTCCAGTAAATGTCGGAATCAGAGGAAGTGGTCTAGTCACCGACCAAGTCATCCCCCAAAATTGTGTTTCCCAAAAATATTTTTGCTTGCAGAAGACATATCCTTCCACATCCATAATTTGTGATTTTTTAATGCAAAGCTTCAAGATTGAAACCTCAAAGCATCTTTGACATTAAGCTAAATTAATATTGTACAGAATTCATATAAATTACTGTATTATGTAACATAAAAATAATACCTTTGTGTGATCATGTGAATAACATTATATTATCTGAAAGTAGAACATCACGACAAGAATTAGATGTTTCCATATTAACATAATTTTTGCATGCCCCCATGAGTATCATTAACATGTGCTTGATTTCAGTGAAAGTGCACTCAAGTAAGTTATTATTAAAATGTTTCTAATGACTGGTCATAAATTTCATGCCAAATAAAGGGGTAAGGTCTAGGGAAAAAAATGTGTTTCCTGTTTCAGTCCTGAAAAAATTAGAGTCGATAGGTACTAGGGTTTATCTTTTTTCCCACCACCCAAACATAAAGGTTCCGCAAACATGTCCATTTTTAGTCCAAATTTTGGTACTGCAAATTATGTAAAGACTTATGCCCAATTAAACACAGTTTTTCGCAACAGCGGAACTGCAGATGTCGGGACTGCCGACAGCAGAGTTAGCTTTTTTCTCTGTGTAGAGTAGTAGAAAGGAATTTTATGGTCTTTTCCCAGACAGTGGAAGAAAATCTCGCAACAGCGCCAGAGTAGTCGCTTAACAGCTCAACGGGAGTCTCCGATAGCTTTAAACTGCTTATAAAGAGCCCCCGACAGCGGGACGAATCTAGGTCAGGGGTTATATGCAAATTTCCGTATTTCGCCAAGAATAGTAGCCATATTTGTTGTTTGGCGCTCTGTTTGGACATTACTTTGGGCTATTGATGTAACTAAACTGTACATACTGCTTTTTCTGTCTACGGGAGGCTCCAAGGGATACGGCAATATTGTGTTGTAGTGACAATGAGTTTACCATATAGCTTATTGTACAGGCCGCGAACAATCAAGCTACGGGTAGAAATTATATTACTGTGATGCTACCTGTTGCTATTCTTGCGTCTAATATAAGCCCTATAAAGTTTTAGGGTAACATCCGCAAACTTCCTCAGATCAGATTAGGAAAGTCTGCGACCTGTGCCTTACATACAGAAGTACACGGGAAAACAACAGCCGTAGCAGGAGGGGTCGACAAACTTGACAAGTTGTAAATGTTTCTTGGAGACTTCCGGGCCGTGTGTATAAAGACGTCCCATCAGCGGGAAGTATCGCCACTAGTGCTGCATACCTAAACCCAATTTTAGGTTCAGGTCCGGATTCAAGTCCAGAGGTTTAGACTTGTAAGTCCGGACCTAAACCCATGGCATATACAAAATTACATGTTGGCAACCTTGCAATGTTGTCTGGGTGAAACTTTGGCCATATTACATGGAGGCCGGTACTTGACGATGCCCGATGGCAATGTTTTCTTTGTTTTGCAGCAAAGATTTTGCAATCTACGGAAAGTTTTAGGTGGTTTGGAAAGAAAAATGGTGTGTGATTGTGAAATGGTCCTTTATGGTAATAAGTCCAGACTCGGTTCTTGACTTTAAGGTTTTTTTTGACTTGAACCTAAACATTCTTACAAGTCCGGATCCAAGTCCAGTGAACCGGTATGCATCACTAATCGCCACTGTCGCGAAAATCTGTGTATAGATTTGGGCTTAGACTCTGCATGTCCATAAAGGTGCAAGAAAGATTCAAATTATGTGCACCAGAATAATCTCACCAGTGTTGCACCGCTTATTTTCTTTACCCAGGCTAGTTTTCTGCTGTCCAACTCATTTTTGTGCCACTGCCCACTGGCATGAAAAGCAAATGGCAAATTTAGATGACATTGTGCTCACCAAAAAAAGGATGCTTAAAAGTACAAATATGAACATGGGCTAAAATTTCATGTACATGTAAGGCGACACCAATTTAATCAATTGGTGCTTGGCCGATGGATGTTCGAATTTTTAGGTTTAGGGACACCAAATTTTCGCTCATTTTGCATTGAAAAATGTGTTCTCTTGGGTGGGTATGACATAAATGAAATACAACACGGTGTATTCCGCATCACCCTCGGTCCCAGCCCTCCCGTGGATCAGATCTCCCTCCAGACTTCGGGCGATCCAACGCACGGTCGGGCTGGTACCTCTGGCGATACGGAATTATCAATACCCCGTGTTGTATTCTATATGTATGTAGTTACTTAGGAGGACTATACCTGAATGTACCTGTTCCCTAGTGGTTATGGCTAGTTAGGCACCACCTGCTTTTGTCAATGCCAATTAGTTAATCATGAATTCTCAATGTTTTATTAATCAAGGAAACCACAGCTGGCAAGGCTTCAAGTTACTGAGTACCGGAAATCACTTAACAGTCACGGTATCAGGGCTCGAAATACTGGGTGCATGTGAACCTTAGTGCACCCAAATATTTTCATAGGTGTTATGTACGATAGGTAACGTTATGTAAAGATGTTAAATGTATAACAGTTAGTAGTATACAGCATATTCTTAACATCCCTGTGTCAGAAAAATAATAAAATTATTGTTGCAGAACTTTTCTTTAGAAATGAAATTGCTGACATTCTAGTTATTCTATTTTATATGGTGCACCCAAAAAATTTTTTGTGCACCCAATTTTTTAGGTGCACCTATTCAAAAAAATGAATTTCGAGCCCTGTGGTAGCAAAAGCTTGCGGTCTGAGAAAAATGGACATGTTCACGAAACTATACGTTTGGGGTGGTGGCATGTGCAACAGTAAGAAAGTCGGTGAATTATTTGTTCACGGTAATGATGACTTAACGGTACAAAAGTGATCGCAGAAACCGCGAATCTAAAAGTGCTGAGAAAAAATCTGGATTCACAGTATTTACTGGACTGATAAATTCACTGGTGTGTTATGCCGAGGGGTGGTTATGCCAGTTACCAATTCCAGATATCATTATTATTGATTTATACCACAGGACTGTAGTATACTAACGCTACATTCGTACATCTAAAAAATTATAAAACCACTCAGTATTATAATTTTTATTGGGATACGTTGTATCAGCCAAGGAACATATATGATGTATTACAGTTGTGGCAATACTATGGAATCACTCACTGCAAAATTTGAGATACAATTTACAAGCAAAAATCTAGGTACACCACTATGAAGAGTTAGACAGATCATTGTATCAAATCTTGATTTGAAGGACATTGCAGGAATTTTTTTTCTACGTAGAAAAACAGAGCGGAAGTATAATGAGCAAAGAGCAAGAAAGAAAACAATATATTATAACTGTCTAGCTTTGCAGTCCATATGCCATTAGGATATTCACATTCTAAATCTAATGCATGCAAGTCTGTATGGTCAAAGAACCCATAACTCTAACAACTACTGTTAGTGTTACATAATTCTACTAACTGCTGTTACATAATTAATGCTATCCTTTCCAGTCATGGTTACTACATGTACATACCAGGGCTCAAAATTCATTTTTGATCATTTTTGGAAATAGATGCACTGGTGCACCCAACCTAAAAACTTAGGTGCACAAAATTTTTTTTTTGGGGGGGGGGGTGTCACCATATAAAACAAAACCTACATGTAGAGTCGATTCCGCGTCACCGAGTGGGTTTTTTCTCCATGTTTCTAATACGTTTGAATTATTTAGAAGAAAAGAATACACTAGTAACAAAAGTTCTAAATTTTTCAAAAATTTGAAAATGAAAATTTGAATATATTTGAATTCATTTATATATTTCTGAAACATTTTGAAAGTGACTGTACAAAGATCTCTTTATTTAGAATAAATTTAAACTACCCATTTGTTTCTTTCACTATTCGAAATATTTAGAACTATTTCAAACAAATGAAAAATGGTAGATGTGGGTAATTGCCCCCATAAAAGTAGGTGCTAATCCTACTCTTCTGTATTCTTCTGTATATTTTTAGATTTCACTGTTGGACACTGGTGGCTCTTTTGTTGTAAGGCATCAATGCCTGACACCCAGGCAGTCTACCCTGTACTTCACAGGGATGTGTGAATTACTTCCTTCCCATCCCACTGACCTATTTACAAAATGTTAGAAATAATTCGAAATAATGGTAAAAAATGGTAGAGTGCTGTTAGAAATATTTAGAAACTATTGGAAATGTCATAATCCACATCAGGAATATTTCAAACGTTTTAGAAAACCAGGGAATTATTTGGAATATTGACAAGATGTTCAAAATATTTCCAAATAATGAAATTTCTTAGACAAACAATTACAAAGAATTCAAAACATTTCTAAATAATGACAATAACAACCCACTCGGTGACGCGGAATTGACTCTAATTACAGATCATTACTGCTCCTCTTCTGAGCTTGAATCTGAAATGGGAGCAAACTTCAAAAACTCAAGTACTACAACAAAGATTTTAATTTTTTCTGACACTCAGATGCTATGAATATCCTGCATACTATGATACATTTAATATGTACAAAAATACCTACAAAAATTATATTTGGGTGCACCCACAGAATAAAATTGGGTGCACTGAGGTGCACATGCACCCAGTATTTCGAGCCCTGCATACTATCGGGTGCAAGAAATCTGAACAGTGTGAACCAATCACATTCTACTGTATGAAATAATCAAAGCAGCATACAGTATTTCCCCATGATGATCCTCTTACTGTTTTTTTTTTACTGTTCAGGAGACCCAGCGGCTGACGAACGAGCCCGTGCCGGGAATCAACGCCGTTCCAGACGAACAGAATGCTCGCTATTTCCACGTTGATGTCATGGGCCCGTCTGAGGTAAGTTTAAAACAGTATCATTGTAAAACGCAAACACAGCTTTCCCTGTTAGCCTGCTTATGAGGAATATTACCTTGTTATACAGAGATAAATCTTGAAAAGGAAAGCACAGAAGAGACATTTGAACACTGTTAACTGGTTAAAAAGTTGACTGTTTCAAACATGGTTAAATTTTAGAGACACAACTTAAGTTACTTCATATAATAGTAAACGGATATTTCATATAGTAGTTGTACACTATACAACTTTTACAAGACACTTAAAATGGTATTCACTGCTTTCTCTGCTTAGCACTCAACTACCAGAGATGGGCACTGCCCTATGTACATGTACTATATACAAGTGAAAGAAAGAACTTTTGACTGATATGTGGGTACAACAAAATTTACAGTCTACAAATACATGTACCTGCAAGACTAGGGGTGGGTACCGGTATAGAAAATTCAGGTCCAGGTCCGGATCAGGTTCAGAGGATCAGGTCCAGGTCCGGACCTGAAACCGGACCTGATTATTGTACAGTAGTATAGTATTAGTATATCATATTTTGGCAAGCGAGACACAATTTCTTGGTGTACACGACACGGCCGTGCATGAGGCCGCTTTTCCCGATGAATAATACGGCTGAAATGCCAGCACATCAACAAATAATTTGATCAAATACTTAATTGCTGCGATCTAAAATGTTACAGGGTTCTCTTAGCAGGGGTTGTTTATTGTTTTGATTGGTAAAATGCAGGGTAAAATACGCTAAATTTAGCCACGCCGCGGTCCACACTTCTGGGTTAAGTGACGACAAAATCATGTCGAAAACGCTAAAAATCCGCATAGAAGCATATCTTTTCCCCAAAGATTCTTGAAACTATGCATTTCTTCACTAGAATATCGATGTGTGGTTGTGGAAAATAGAATTTTAGCGCCGATATCGAACAAAGAAAAGTTGTTTACACGCGCGTCGGCTCGCTCAAGTCTGCCGCTACGCTGCCAGCAGCGGGCGCAACAACCAATCAGAGATGCAAAATGCCGACACGTGAAGCGGGATTGCGTCACAGTCTGAACAATGGGGGAGGGCTCGCCGTGCACGAAATGTTTTTTGAGTCAATATTCAGCGCCGCGTTTCAAGAGATTAATACCGGGAAACATTTTTTTTCTTGTTTTTGAACGCATAAACTTGGATTTAGGCTGATCTAGTATGATTCAGGGTTATCTTTTTTACCTGCCATGGCCAGATTATCTAAAGATGTGTGTGTTGTGTGTACAAATTACAGAAATGTAACATCAGGTCCGGTCATCCGGTTTTCACGTTTCGGTTTTTTGGACTCGGTTCTTGAATGTTGTTCCGGTCCAAACCGGTCCGACTGAACCGGTACCCACCCCTATGCAAGACAATAGATAAATCAACTTTTTTATACTATTTGTTGTAAGGTCTGAACATTCTTTGATATTTCTATCTATTTGTACACAGTAAGGGCTATTATTGAATTTACATGTATCTATACTGACTATAGCATGAAATTCAACAAATTCCGTTGAGCAAGCAGATACTGGACAATTTATAATAAAATGTTGTTGGTCATCAACCTTATTATTATCAGGACATATAGAGTCAATTCCGCGTCACCGAGAGGGTTGTTATTGTCATTATTTAGAAATGTTTTGAATTCTTTGTAATTGTTTGTCTAAGAAATTTCATAATTTGGAAATATTTTGAACATCTTGTCAATATTCTAATTTAATAATTCCCTTGTTTTCTAAAACGTTTGAAATATTCCTGATGTGGATTATGACATTTCCAATAGTTTCTAAATATTTCTAACAGCACTCTACCATTTTTTACCATTATTTCGAATTATTTCTAACATTTTGTAAATAGGTCAGTGGGATGGGAAGGAAGTAATTCACACATCCCTGTGGAGTACAGGGTAGACTGCCTGGGTGTCAGGCATTGATGCCTTACAACAAAAGAGCCACCAGTGTCCAGCAGTGAAATCTAAAAATATACAGAGGAAGACAGAAGAGTAGGATTAGCACCTACTTTTATGGGGGCAATTACCCACATCTACCATTTGGTTATTTGTTTGAAATAGTTCTAAATATTTCGAATTGTGAAAGAAACACATGGGTAGTTCAAATTTATTCTAAAGAAAGAGATCTTTGTACAGTCACATTCAAAATGTTTCAGAAATATGTAAATGAATTCAAATATATTTAAATTTTCATTTTCAAATTTTTGAAAAATTTAGAACTTTTGTTACTGGGGTATTCTTTTCTTCTAAATAATTCAAACGTATTAGAAACATGGAGAAAAAACCCACTCGGTGACGCGGAATGGACTCTAAATTGTTTATTTCTCTTCCCCAGTCGCCGTTTGAAGGAGGCACGTTCAAGCTGGAGTTGTTCTTGCCAGAAGACTACCCCATGGCCCCGCCCAAAGTGCGCTTTATGACCAAGATCTACCACCCCAACATAGACAAGCTGGGCAGAATCTGTCTAGACATCCTAAAAGGTAAGTTACAAACAAGGAAAGAGGAATCAGGGCTCTAGCCAGCTCGAATTTTTTTGTCATCAGCCCAGGTTCATGATAGGACCTGGGGGGAGAGTGCTCGCAGTCTAGGGCAGCAAAGTTTGGATTCTGAAGCCTTTAAAAACGCAATTTCACACATATTGAGAGGCAAATCATGGGGTTGAGAGTGGTTGATGGTAGTCCTTTTAGGTTTTTATATTTTTACCCAAGATTTTTGTCCATCAAGGTTGATGGATTGGTTTTTCCATCACATACCACAAAGTTCCTGCAAATGACGGGAAAATGGGTACTGGATAGAACCCTGGAAGGGCTCTGAAGCAAATTTACGCTGTAATTTCCAACACAAGAAATTGGGCTTACCCAAATTTTCGACTGTACAATTCCAGTCTTCGTCAAGGAATGAGCGATTCACTACTGCTCCTGTGAAGTCACAAACTTGCTTAAAAAAAGTAGCATCATTGAAGACAACAAAGAACTTAGTAAAACTAAACATGATGCTCATCACACTCCTAGCAACATTTTTTGAAAACAGTTCAATTTTTTCTTTATGCACTGAAATGCAAAGAAGCTGCAATGCAATTAAAACTTGCCTGGTGCAGGTAATTTGGAATGTAATCTGCACCTTCCAAGTTACCTCCACAGTGCAGTGAAACAGTATTTCGAAAAGTTCCATTTTTTGTCCTCTATATCTAGAGCTGTTTACCTAAGCAAATTTTAGGTACATGTATGGGTACAGGTACACGGGTTTAGTTACAGGTACTGAGGGATTAAGTATTTTGGGCCTGTACCTGATCAATTTTTTCGGTACAGTATCGGTATGCAGTACACTGCCCTAGCTGTACCCATGTGTTTCTCTGTCCATCCTCGCAGACAAGTGGAGTCCAGCGTTGCAAATCCGCACAGTGCTCCTGTCCATCCAGGCCTTACTGAGCGCGCCCAACCCGGACGACCCACTAGCCAATGACGTCGCAGAGCAGTGGAAGGTGAACGAGTCCCATGCAATAGAGACAGGTACGTACAACTGGAGTACATGGGTGGAGTACTATCTTGAAAGTTCATCTGTGTTGGTAGACATCATTATGAAGCAAGTTTAAACTGTAATTTCCAACACAAGAAATTGGACTCACCCAAATTTTTGACTGTACAACTCCAGTCTTTGTCAAGGAATGAACAATGGATCATAGGTTGCAGAAAGTCTGTGGCGCCCCCCGTCTTCTTTGCACAAGAGGCCATCTACATCAGGGCATTACAACCATCCCTCAACAGAGACGGGGGGCGCCACAGACTTTCTGCAACCTATGACCCACTGCTCATGGAGTCACGTGTGTTACCTGCGTGACGTCACGAAAGCAGTGGATTGTTCATTCCATGACAAAGACTGGAGTTGTACAGTCAAAAATTTGGGTGAGTCCAATTTGTTGTGTTGGAAATTACAGTTTAAACTTGCTTCATAATGGGTTGAGTACATGTAGGTTGTAAGCTCCTGAAAAACGTATGCTGTTTGGTAGTGAGTCGTGACTACAATGTAAATGCTGGTCTTCTTCTTCCTTACAGCAAAAGCATGGACGCGACTGTACGCCATGAAAAGCTGAGGGTGGGGAAGAGGGTCAAGCCAATGCAGCTCAACAACTGTAGGGATGCCATCAACCTAGCAATAGTGCATGGAGGGGAAAAACTGTCTCCCTTCCTCTCTTGTAGCAGTGACCCCTAGCAGATCATTTCCACACTGCAGGATCAACTTGGATGGTTGATGTTACTATCTAAGCTCTCATTGTCTGCTATTTCCTGTCGTTTTCTTCCTGTATACCGTTGTAAAAAAAAATGATGTTCCTGATTTTTTAGAGCGCACACTGTGACAATTTCAGTATCTTCCTGCAGCTGCAGCAAGACTTTAATGTCTGTAAAAATGGTGAACTCGGGTGCAGCAAGACTTTAATGTCTGTAAAAATGGTGAACTCGGGTGGTCAAATTTGACTCTTTTGAATATGTAACACTATAATTTTAAACAGAAACATACCTGCCAAACACCCAAGACAAAGATTCTCGAAAGTCTGGACTAATATGCTTCACCATTCTGATTTGTAATGCATCTAGTACCCACACCAGCAGAATTTGATCATACTTAGTTGGGGTCAGAATTATCCTTACTTCTTTCTTACTTGGTTCAAGATTTATACAAAACTTATTTGTGTAAAAAGTTTTGGCGTCGTATTCACCAACTCAAGAAAGCATATACGATAGATTAAGACCGGATGAATGTCGAGTATATGTAGGTAGCTTTAGTTCTTTTGTTTTTTCTGTTTATTTGAAGCAGAACAATGTTAAAATGTACGCTGTGGTGTTGTTTATGTCATTTTACAACCACGAGGTCTGTGTTTGGTTCGTAAAGTCATTGTGGTATTCTTTATACAGCTGTCCAAGGAATAGATTAAAAAGATGTTCTGTCTCAAGAAATATCAAGAAAGAAGCTTGTGGAGAGAGTAAAGAAATAGCCTGTGTTTCAGATTGACTTAAGACGACAACATGAAGAATTCTTACTTAAGAAGTTCTGTGTTTAGATCGAGAGGGGGTGGGTATCAAAAGATGTTAAACAGATTTCCTATTATGCAAATTTTGAAGTCGTACATACTACTAGTTTGAATGTGCTTACTGGCAAGTAATTCGTACTGAAGATTTTGAAATGGAAGGCTGGCAATAGAGGATAATACTAGTGTTCGCACATGGACACATACCTAAACTACTGAGTAAACTAGCCGAGATATAAAAGAAAAAATGGCATAGAAAAATGAAATACGTTTGTTCCTTTTCGGATGCACTCAATGCTGGGGGTAACTTGTGTAGCACTTCTGGCTAACTCAGATTATTTCAATGGTTGTTGGATTGTGAAATGTACTTTATTTAAGTCCACTCTTTCTACGGCCATGTTTTACTTTACAAATTTCTGTTCACGTTTTGAGTTGTCCAACGAAATTGCATGGCTTGGCTACCTAAGCTAAGGCAGCGACCAACGATGATAAAAAGACTGGCAAAAGCAGAAAAATTAGGTGTAATCGTGCTGCTTGTAACACCATATGTGGGGATGGGGGTGTACAATGTACATGTACATGTAAATTTGATGTCTACATCTCATTGAAAAGTCTAGATTCTGAACACTTATAACACGGAAGAAAAAAAGTTACGAGACTTGTTCGAACTAATAGAGATCATTTACTTGTTGAAAAGGAATGTACAGAAGCATGCATGTAGTTGTATTTATTGTATTATTATTACTAAGACTGGGATGGCATGGTTGGCAGAAATTCAAAATGATCGCGCTTTGGGTCACATATTCAACATCCTTGTTACAGGGTATATCATTGGCAATTATCACCAAGAATTCAACACTGTCCTTGTAACTTGTCTGTTGGCAAACTTCGCGTGAAGAAATAAATGTACACTGAAGCAAAATATGCAGCGATCACTATGTATGAATGTAGTGTCATAGAGGCCCTTTGGGGAGTTGTAAAAGTAAGAAGAAAGTTATCTTGAAAGTTCATCTGTGTTGGTAGAAATCGCCATGCAGCAAGTTTAAACTGTAATTTCCAATACAACAAATTGGACTCACCCAAATTTACGACTGTACAACTCCAGTCTTTTGTCAAGGAATGAGCAATCCACCGCTTTTCCGTGACGTCACGCAGATAACACGCGTGACTCCGTGAGCAGTGGATCATAGGTTGCAGAAAGTCTGTGGCGCCCCCCGTCTCGGTTGAGGGAGACTTTAATGAGAAGAAACTAAGTAGAAAGTTGCCTGTGTACAAAAAAACCATGCCATTCCACTCCACCAATCTGTTTGCAGTTTTGTCTATCTGTTCCTCCTGGATGCATGTGCAGCAGCTTGTCTTAGGCCACAGCAAGTAATTTTTATGGATGACATCAGCGCGCGCATAAGTTTTCGCCTGATTTTGGAGAAAAAGAAGAAGAAATTTTTTTGCCCTCTGACAGTGGTCAACGTGCCGAAAATGGACAAAGATGTCTGTTGCCATGCCGGAAGGTGGATGGCAGATAACTATGAAGAGAGGAGACAAGAAAATGCTCTGATTTCATGTTTTGTTTCTTACTTTGATGCAGTGATATGTGATGCTGGCTGTGTATATGTGATGTTCCCACTGAATCAAAACCATTTGTACAATGCTTGAGTCAAATTTTTTAAATGTAGGAACCTTGTTTTTTTTTTGGCCCGTCTTTTTTTTTGGCCCGCTCGCATTAGATTTGGAGTCTGCGGAGGATGTCATCCATAAAATTTACTTGCTGTGGCCTTATATCATCTGGAAGGAAGTGAAGACATCTGTTGTTGAACATAGTCAAATTTCACTTTGAATGTAGGTAGCTGTTTACCTGTACAACAATGTAGGTGCAAACCAAGCTCTGAAGAACGTCACTGTTAACAAAATTAAACAACAGTTTTGTTTTCAAACGTGTCTTGCTTGTGACTGTTGTGTGCTTTTGGAAATTCTGAAAGTTTGACGGCTTAAGAAACAGTTTCCAGAAGGAACACTCTTGTCTTTGAAACAATAATTAATACTCATTTTTATAGTTGAATTGTTCAATGAAGATAGATTTAAATAAATATCTGGTTTCCCTTTATTATTTCTTACACTGAAAAGTACCATACTTGGAAAACAAGTGCAACTACTGAGTAACCCAGTCATCTGTATCTGTAACAACCAATCATGGGCAAGGTCAAGGATCTGTGACAACCAATCATGGGCAAGGATCTATGAGTCATGAAGGCAACCAATCATGGACAAGCTTAAGGATCTATGACTACCAATCATGGGCAAGGATCTATGAGTTATGAAGGCAACCAATCATTGAAAAGGATATATCACCACTACCAATCATGGACAAGGATCTATGACAACCAATCATGGACAAAGCTCTATGTGACTGTTGTGACAACCAATCATGGATAAGGATATATATGACAAGCCTTTTGTTTGTTTGTTTGTTTGTTTATTTAAATGCAACAGTGCATAACAAGTGGCAACCAGGCAGCAACAAGGCTGGTAGCGGCTACCACTGACACATAAATGCATAAATACAAAGTACAGTATAACTTAAATACAATATCACTTGGTACATACAAATTCAATTCAATATTTACAATAGCAATAAACATACAAAGTACATACAAATTCAATCAATACATAATTAAGCAATACAGTGTAATTACAATACAAATCGATAAAATGATCAAAGTTGAAATGGAACGGTTGGAGGATTTTCACAAGATGCATGAATGTTACAGGACCCCAATGATACCATGTGGTGCAAAAGCATCTACTTTTGCCTCTGACAGGTAAAAACCATAACTCAGCTGTCATCGACCAAGTCAAGTTTATTGCGCAACAATTGCATTTGATACAATGTATGCCAAATAACAATTAATAACTATAAACAAAATACCCGTTTGCGCTCGGAAACAAATGGAAGATAGGGACAAAGTTCAATAGATAAAGCAGTGACCAAAGGTTCTTTATATGACCTTTTGTACCTTTACCTATAGCCTATGGAGGTAGGATCATATATAGGTCACCTCAGAGTGCGTGCTGTTCTGTAGCTGGTGAACGGTATGTTTGTGCACGGTATTTCAGCCATGATACTGCTGCTTTTTACAACAATGATAGCGGGTATATCTGCTACAGATGACGGCCCCGTCTTTCACACGCAATACGGAGCCGTACGCGGGATGTCTGTAGACGAGGGAGTGATAGTCCTCGGACTGCCCTTCGGTGAACCGCCCGTTGGCGAGCTCCGCTGGAAGGCACCTGTGCCGTACAACACGCCCTGGTCTCCCGGCGTCCGCGACGGCAGCGTCCCGGGGCCGGCCTGCCCGCGCCACGGCTGCGGTCCTACCGACTCTGACCCGCAACACGTCTGTCCCCGAGACGGCAGACTCAGCGAGGACTGCCTGTACCTCAACGTCTTCGCCCCGCATACCGTACTGAACTCTACCGCCAAGCTGCCGGTGTTGTTCTGGCTCCACGGCGGTGGTTTTAACACGGGGACGGGCTCTGCGCTCTGTTACGACGGACGCTTTCTTGCTAACAAAACGAACACCGTAGTCGTCACGACGAACTACAGACTTGGGGCTCTCGGCTTCCTCGTGGCAGGCAAGGGGAAAGACGCAGCGACGGGGAACTACGGAATACTGGATCAAATTGTAGCGTTAAAATGGGTACAGGAAAACATCGGAGACTTCGGGGGAGACAAAAATCACGTCACCGTTGTTGGACAAAGTGCGGGGTCCGATTCGGTCGGTATTCACATGACCAACAACAGGTCTGCCGGCTTGTTTGAGAAGGCCATCATGTTGAGCGTACCTTTCACCATCAACCACAAGTCTCGCGCCGAAGCTACCCGTCTGGGGAACCACTTCGCCCGCTTACTGAACTGTTCGCACGGCGACATGACATGCGTACGTTCTAAAACCACGGAACAACTCTTAGACGCGCAGGACAAGTGCGGCAACTTCATAGCGAACCCTCTCCGTCTGTTTGAGATGTTCGTGCAGTGGGGACCGTACATAGACGGAGACATCTTAGCAGAAGAACTCGTCGACAGATTTGCCAAGGGACAGTTTCGAAAGATGCCATTCATCATAGGTACGGTTACAGAAGAAGCCAGACCGTACGTTTTTGGTGCATTCACCAACAACATGTCCAGGCTTGAGTTAGATGGGGTCGCTGTGGCGTTTTTGGGTGGCAAGGCAGAGCGGACAATTCGTGAGTATAACCCGCCTAAAACTTCAGATTACCGGCCTTACTTATCCCATGCTGTCACTGACTGGGTCTTTCTCTGTCCCACCCGTAACGCTAGCCGTAATGCAGTTTTAGCGGGAGTCCCCGATGTCTGGCTTTTCGTCTTTGACCACTCCTGGTCTTTCAAACACGCCTGGGGCGACAGTACGTACTGCGACGGCCATGTGTGCCACGGAGAGAACGTCCCGTTCGTGTTTCAAACACCCCCTCTTGCGAACATCAGTCTAACTGCAGAGGAGCAGGTCATGGCGGACACCATAGCCTACCACTACGGGAACTTCGCGCACACGGGAAATCCTAACAAACACAACCAGCATCTAGTGAGCTCAAATATCAACGTGACAAATATCTTACACTGGCCAAAGTACAACAATGCTAATCTGTTTACAATTCTGAACATCACAACGCCAGAGAACACACTGGTACAGAACTATCGGCAGGAAAAGTGCGACTTTTGGGACAGAGAAAATGTCTACAATAGAGGAAACTGATGAGCTACATGTTCGATAACTTTTACCTTACAAATATATTAGATAATGTTTGAAATGTGAACTAGACTATAAATGTATTTCAAACCCTGATTCGACCAAGAATCTAGAGTGCATCCTGCACACGGCCCAAAATACATGTATAGCTGTTTTTTTTAAAGCTTCTATGTCCGTGTGTCATTGTTACATTTTCAAGCCCAGACTTCATGTTTTTCTCTTTGCCCGAGCGTCGCCAAATCTGCTGTACCCGACTCCAGAAAAGTTGCTAAAACGTCTTTAAAGTAGTGATTTCTTTTCGCCGTTAGGAGGCGATTTTGATCCATGGTGATTTTAACGGTTCAGGTTTCAGAGTGTCTCATGTCAGATTTGCTACGTGTTTCCCTAAAATGGACACGTTTCAGAGAAAAGAATTTGACCGATGATATATGTGTTAGAAATATAGTCTAAGCAGGATTTCTTTCCGCCTGGAAGACTAAGATAAAGAAATTATTACATGTATTTTTTAATGTTGGCTAACTCGCTCCTACTGCAGTGATTTTTTTCGCCGCTACGAGGCGTTTTTGATCCATGTTGAATTACAAATCTCAAGCTCGTTCAAGACCAAGTGTCTTAAATTGCTGCTACTCTTCAAAAGCCCCTTTTTTTTCTGTCGCCCCGTCAGTTCTGGTAACTGGATGAATTCCTTCGCACACCTGTCCTGGTAAGATGACTACCACACTTGAATAGACTCACCTGTTGGTGTAACAGGTAGGACCATTCACGTCAGGGTTAATAAATCTACCTGAATAGGTGCGAACAGGAGTTAATGATGCTACTGACCTTCCCAGGACACGCAGACTAAACCTGATACATCTGCCGAGCAGGAATCTTAAACAGCATAAACACATTTTTGGGAACCATAGTACAATGCGTACAACCCTTGTGTTGGAATAAGGTACAGCATTGTACTCTCCAAGCAGAGGTTTGGGTTTTGGGTGATTTTTGGCGCGTTTTTAGACTTTTTTGCACTGGAATTTTTCTTTCACCCAATCCAACTGCCGGCAGAGGTTGGGTTGGATGAAAGAAAAATTCCCGTGCAAAAAAAGAAACCCCGATAAAAAAAATAATAAAAAGACGCCAAAAATAACCCAAAACCCAAAACTCTGCTTGGAGAGTAGCATTGTACTATGATTACTACCAACACAGATGAACTTCTATGACCATTTTTGGGAAATACATCGGTGAAGTTTAAACATTCAGGTACTAACGCAAAAAAAAAAAACAGTTACTCAAGTTTACATCAGCCTTGTCTTTGACTTTCTGTAACTTTTGTTTCCTACTGTACGGGACTATCAAAAAATGTATGTCTTCACTTCATTTGTGTATCAATCAATAGTTTATTTTTATAAAAACTGCTGAATTCGAGATCTCACCAGTGTCACTGACGAAAGTTAGTGGATGCTACCAGAAATATCTGACCGTTTCCAAAATCATATCCAATTGCTTGAGTAACTGTTATTGGCATATTTTAGGAAATAAGTCTTACTTCTCTAGGGATTCTTCCAAGTTTGGATTGCAGCCAGATATGTGGGGTTTAATACTACTGCATCTCAACAGCATACATGTATTTCTGAGAATTAAACACTAAGAAACAATTTTCTTCCTTTTAAATGTCAATTGTACACTGGGGGTAAATTGTCCATAATGCCGTGTGAAATATAAGTTGGTGTAACAGGTGTAACCTGCTGTTTATTGCTATAGGAATGGTTTCAAAGTCAGACCAAACACATCATGCATTCCACTGTAGTGTGTATTTCACAAGTTCTGTATCTGTGTCCTCTGGTTCTCACAAAGATAGGAAAGTGGTATGACAAAACTAACTTGCAAACTTACATGTATGTAACATCTGTGCACCATATATTCTATTGAAATAAATATGTATATCCACAAGTCAGTTGGAATCGGGCAAATCTAGCATCTTTGTTCATCATTAAAACAATTTACTTGGTTATACACTACATTTGTACATTATAGCCGACAGCTATCAACTTCTATCACTAAAATTCAAGGTTTATAAGTCTGAATTTGGTTACAGCGACAAAAACATTAGATTGCGGCTGTGATTTCCTGTTGGATGCAATTTTGAAATGACCTTGAATTTCAATCCAATCACTCTGACCTTGACTGATGAGGTCATCATTTAAATCTCATTCAAGGGCATTTGACTCTTAATACAAGGTCATGTCTCTACCAGGCAAGAGATAATGACTTGAAACAAACAACATTGGGTGTAAGGTTCTAATTTCAGCTGAATCAAATGAATTTATCAATCATAGATGAAAGTAAGCAAGGAAATGCTAATTACATACTAATGGTTGTTCTTTTCCTGGTCATGCAAATGTTATAAATGTGTAGTGAATGTGATACATAAAATGAATGCCCTGTATCTCATACATTTTGAAATTAGCCTGGTATCCAGTCTTTGATAGCTTTAGCTTTAGCCTGCTTTCAATCGATAACATTGTCAAGACTGGAATTCCTAGCCTCTACCAGGCTTCGGGAGGAAGTGTGTTGATGTTCGCAATGTATATTTACCACTTTTGACAAAATATTTATACGAATACACACAACAAAGTTCAGCTATGCTGGGGAGCTTTCGAGACGTTACACTGTCTCTTCTTCAACCCGATTGAGATCTCGTCTTGGAGTTCTCTTGTCACGTGACTTGATGGGATAATCACGTGACAAGAGACAGTCATATACAGGTTTTAGGTAGTGACGCCCCCTGTCCTTGTCCAATATATTTACCACTTTAGTAAAGGGACAGAAACTTGACCAAGGCCTATAATGTTACAGTACTGACAAGAAATAACAAAAACACAAGACTTCAATGTTCAACAGAATCATATTTTATTTATCTATGGATAGCCAGAAGCCTTTTACCTGGGAATGTTAGGTGTATGTATAGAACTTTTGCAACACAAGTAAATTATCTTACACATTCTTAGCGGAACAAATAAACATTCATCAAGCACAAGTGGAAGTTCACAGTTTCACATCTTCTGAAGAGGAAACTTAACCCCTTAAATCTTAACAATTTTTGTCTCGAACATAAATAACAAGCACAATGTAAACCATAGGTCATCTCTGAAAACATAAGTACCAATTTTCATAAGTTTCACACTAGTTCAGCAGTAGCCACTGTGCCACATTTTCATAGTCATACAACATTGCAGGGCACTATAAATTTGATAATTCATAATAACATAAATAAGACACAATGGTAAAATTTCACAATTCAGGGTTTGAAAAAAAAAACTTTTTATTCACAGGTTTCCTGGTGGAAAACCTAAGCCAAAAGCTAGGTTGCCTATAAATATTTCGGGTTGCCATCTCTGTTAATTTTGTCGTTTTGTATGAAAAAAATGATAACTTGTGTAGCATTTCCAATAACATAAATTTTGCACAGAAAACATGACTTGCAGTATGGGACTTTCAAACCCTGCAGTTTGAGATAGCTTGCTGTGGTGTCACCACACAGAATGTAGAGTTCTAACAATCTTGGTGAGTCGCCTGTGACCAAACTGGAACTAGCCTGGTGTCCAGTCTACCATTATGGTTGGGGCGAGTTCGAGGAACCACTAATATTAGAGCCCCAAAGACAGCCTGTCTCAACCACAATAGACTGGATACCAGGTTACACCGAGGGCCTGCATGCCCTTTTTTCGTAAGGTGTAATCGGGCCTTTTTAGTCTTTGTAATCCGTAGGCAGCCGCCAAAAATCATCGTAATTCGTAATCAGTACATTAGCCCTAATGTGTAATTGTTCGTAATATAAGGTCTGAGAATTCAACGTAATTCGTAATCGGCAGCAAAAATTTTGTGTAATTCCAGGGTTGGACAAGTTTTCAAAAATCCGCTTGCCCTATTGGACAAGTACATGGTCATTTTCACTTGCCCGAACCATGGAGGTAGTAGTTTTTCTACCTCCATGTCCGAACCAACTTTTCACTTGCCCAAAATATGCAATGTACATGATATTTTCTATGCATTTTTACTACAAGCAAGGAAATCATTTTATCGTAGAGTTATCAAAATAAGGTGGTCTGAGACTTCCAATGAGTAATTTTCTCCAAACACCGTAGTGGCTATACTTCGCATCCAAAAAAATTAACTTGCCCAATCGGGCAAGTACAGGGGGATATTCACTTGCCTGAACAGTACTTTTACTTGCCCTGGGCAAGTGGGCAATGGGACTTGTCCAACCCTGAATTCGTGATCACTACACCCCCATGCAGGCCCTCTACACTGGAACTATAGTCAGCTGCAGAACTCCACCAGTACCAGAGACAGGTCTCCACTGGTGTTCCATCTGGAACCTGACCTTAGACCCAGGCGACTGACAGAAGACTCTTACAACAGGAAATAGCCAGTCAGGAATGTTTGGTCACATGCTGACAGTCAAACATACTGACAGACTGGTATGTTTTGGTGGCTTACAGCGAGCGAACTGTTCACACCTCGTACATACATGTACAACTCACAATCTTGCTCGTGGTGACATCACAGAAGAGTAGAAAACGTCATAAAGATAGCCTTTTATAAATTTTAGGTGTTGGTGAACGTAGACATTTTACTTAAGGAAATACATGAAGTAAAACTGGGAGCAGCTTTCTAGCCTGCGTACATGTACATGTATGTCTTTCCGTCATTTGGCGGAATTTTGCAGCCAATGAGAGACAAAAATTTTGCTGAATCTGAATCTTTGACGGACAAGAAATGGAAAGACATTATAGTCTACCAGCAAAATTTTCCCCTCAAAATGCAGGAAATAGTGTCTCAGACTTTTATTTAGAGGGTCAAGATTTCAAACTTTTCTCCTCTGGCATTGTCATGCCTTTGGTACTGAAAATGATGTTATATCAAATAAAACTGAGATGATGAGAAAAAAATCAAAGCTGGCTAGAACGCATGAACTGGAGTACTTTTTTTCACAGAAAAAAAAATTCAAATTTAGTTTCGACTCAGTACCACTGCTCTTTGGACATGGTTTCCTATACATGAACAACAAAATGCAACTGCCTAGTTCAGGCTCCTGGTTTTTAACCAGAAAGTCTACACAAGGCTGGAATGAAATCTTAAATAAATGAAATCTTTTAGCATCTTCTAACAACATAATTCTCTAAACAGATTAATATCTAGACAGCCTTAAATAAACTGTAGAGATCTTTTAACTCAAATCTTGACGCGAAAAGAATTGTAAAGAATATCGTGTTGCAACTGGCTTTCAGGGCATCTAATGCTCCATTTCTCACAGTTTGGAAGATTTTGACAACTTATAACTCTGTGGCGTGACACAACGCCCACATTTGCACACAAACAAGTTTATGGAAGGCAACAAAATACATTTCGCCAATGCTAATCAAATTAGTATTAACCACGATGACAGAGGTGATTCATTATCTAGTCCAGGAAGAAGGTACAAAATTTAGGAGGCCATCCCATTTTTATCTCTTTGCTCAAATAGAATTTTCTGACCGTCAGTCATTCATTTGGAAGCTTTCAAAATTGTAGGTCACTCTTTGAGAAAATTGTAGGTCACTCTTTGAGGTATCCGCATGTTTGTGTTTCATTATGTATCTAAGGAATTTAACCATCGCTGACATGCTGAGAGGAACTCATGTAACTGTTACAGATTTATAATTTGAGTTGTCATTTCTTAAAAATAGTGTTATGTCCAAATTTCAGTTTCTCTTGGTTCTGATAGCATATTTTGTACATGAAGGTTGGAATAAACTAGCTACTGTACTAATAGTATTTATGTGTGACGGGTCAGAATTCTGAAATGTGTCAGAATCTCGATGCTTCTCTTCTTGGAAGTACTATCATGTTAAACTACCTTTTAGTATGAACACTATAATGTCATGGGTACATGTATCATGATTGTAGACAATCATTGTTCAACCATGGCTAATGACAAGGTTTTAACAATGCAACCTCCATACATGTATTTTATGCACAAATGGTACATTGTATATGACCAATATGGTAAATGTCATGTAATTGAAGTGACTTCATATTTTCAATCACAATAAACTTCATATCTTCAGTCACTTCAGTCACTGCTTGGGTTGCACATTTTTAAGACACTTTAAACTGATTTTACACAACTGAATTCTGTCCTCCATTTTCCACAAGTCTCTTAAGTCTGTGTGGGTAAGAATCATTTAGCGTTGTCGCCTATTGTCTTACATATGTCCAAGGCTTGTTGGTAGAGTTCCTCCAGCTCGTGGCCGAACCGACTGTTGTTTTTCCTCAGCGGAGAGTCCTGTCTGGGGCTGTGGAATTCAAACTCGTCCTGACACAGCCTCCACGTGTTGTCTTCCCCGTCTTCGTCCATGTCTAGCGTTTCCGAAGACGGCGGGCCTGAACCCGGACTAAGAATATCGAACGACTCGTCCGACAACAGACTCTCTTCGCTGTACGTACTAGACGGCCTGTTGTCCTTCTCCGTTGTCTCGCTTTTGTCCGATAAACAACCCTCCGCACTCGCCGGTCTGTTCGCAACATCCGCCACCTTCCCGCACTCTCCGGTGTTGGGCGCGCTCGAGTATTTGCCGTTCTTTTTCAGAATTCCTTTCGGTTTCGCGCCGTTTTTAGTGTTCTGCACGAGAGCTGGCTTCTTGTTCTTCTGGATCCCGTCTGCCGATTCGCTCCTCTCCGGGGAAGAGTAGTACCCCGACTCGCGGTTCTTTCTCAGTGCTTTGCGAGCGGGAGTCGCGAGGCTACGCGGTTTGCTTCCCGGCGTAGACTTCACCGACAACGTTGGAGAGTCGGTACCCGGGTTCTTCAGGATACCCTTCTTGGGTTTGGGCGGGAGGACAGTCCTAACCGGCCGCGGGATCCGAGACTTCATGTTCTTGGCGTTCACGTGAATGTCATTGCACTTGGTGGTTTTGTCGGGAGCCACATGGTTGTTCCTCTGCTCGGATAACTTGAGGCTGACGCTGAAGTCTTGTCGTGCCTCCTCGATCCAGCTGCGCTGGGAGTTTGGGAGGGAGTGGCTGATGGGCGGGGTGGTCTCCTTCACGGGTTTCTCCTCCTCGTACTCCGCGCACACCCACCAGTGGTGCCGGATGTCGTCTATCGTGGCTCGCCGCTTCGGGTTTACGGTCAGACACCAGCGGATCAGGCCTGCAGCATCTGTAAAACAAGCGTTGATGAATATCATTTTCTAATGAAGATGAATATCCTTTTCTGCATGTTCATCATCATTTCACATTTGAAATAGCCACAAAACAAGCTACATGACGTGCCTCTTTATTCTATAGGTGCCACCCATATAAAATGTACATGTGTAGTTAAAACAGCCTACGATACAAAACAAGCAACTGTTTTCCGTCAGCGACATCACATTTTTGTCTCATATCAGTATATGGGATAGGATTGTTTCAATGTCTAGAAAATTGACTTTGCAAGTCAAATTTTACATCACTGAAATTGCATCGGATGCCTTTAAACTTGTCAAAAGAACTGTTCTTTAAACTTGTCATAAGAACCGTTCTTTAAACTTGTCATATTCATAAGAACCATTCTTATGACAAGTTTAAAGGCATCCGATGGTTTTAAAGAACCGGAGGCAGTACCTGAGGGTTGGGAGGGTTCAAAGTACTGTGCCCTGGAGATCTGTTGTGTCAGGGAGCCGAAGTCACTACCGTCAAACGGCATGGTCCCATACACCAGCGCATAGAGCACAACACCCAGGCTCCAACAGTCCACCTGATAGGGAACACAACAACACATGGTCAACTGGTGTCAACATCAGGATTCATCTCACAAAATACTGTATTTTATATTCACTTTATATTCACGGTAGCAAAATCTTGAGGTCTCAGAAAAAGTGGACATGTTCGCAGAACTTTATGTTCTCGGTGGTGGCAGGTGCAGAAAAAAAGGAAGTCAACGAATTACTGGAGTATACGTTCATGGTAATGATCATGATAAATTCACGGTACCAAAGTGACCGCGAAACCCATGGATATAAAAGTACTGTGAATATAAAGTGATTCACAGTAGCGGTACATTATACATGTACAATGTACATGTATGTCTACAATGTACTTGTTGGGAACTGTTTGAATCCTCAGAACATTATTCTACTTGCTGCAAGCATGACTAAAATTCAATACAAGTGACTCACTGCACTACTGTAGGTGCTCAAATTTCTCTTGGGAAATTTTGATGCATGACTGTTTTATCCCTATAAATACTAGTACACAATCATATAAATACCCTGTACATCAAACTTAACAAGGGATTAGTCGCCAATTGAGGTCATTATTTTCAGGCAAATTGAGACATGTTTCACTCATCTCAGCTATGCTGTTCACTCGAATTTCTGGTGATTGTATCGTCTTTTGGGACAACTTATGGGGTTGAAGGGGTGGCAGATGTTATGTTCTGAATGATGTCCATATAAATAGCCCTGTACTCTCATGCTAAGTGCTCTCCACAGGGGAGAGTTGGGCATTTCATTCTGCAAGCTGTCACACAAGTAGGGCTGAACATCTGACCAGTGTTCTAGCCAGCCAAAAATTTCTTTCTGTATGCCAATTTTGTACAATGTAACATCATGTAGAGTGCTTAGGGCATGAGGTGTCACAGTCATGCCATAGGCACAACAATCCTAGGGGGTCAGCTTGGCAGGTGGTCATGTATGCACACCCAGGAAATTTTAAAATCATGATCCCCTAAAATGCTATTTCCTGCATTTTGCGGGGGCAAATTTTGCTGTATGTACAGTAGCTTGGGTGCCAGATCTCAACTCAACACAACACAGTCTAAGAGTCTATCTGAAGGGTGTCTATGGTAAAATTTTCTGAGGGGCTAGCCTGTATACTATCCCTGACAACACCCAGGCTAATTTCGCTGGTAGACTATAAAAGCTAAGTAATAGATTAATGTCTTGTTTGATATCTTTACAATATACAATTTCTGTCAGTCAAAGATGGCAGATCGGGCAAAAGTTTTGTCTGTCATGAGCAGGAAAATTCCATCCAATGACAGAAAGACAAATGCTGCACCTAACATCTGACTACTTCAGTAGAAGTAGAAATGTCTGCAACGGAAACTAACAAAGCCCCAGCAACAGTTCCAAACACTGTCCAGTTGTCCAAACTACTACCCAGCCTGAAGAGTAAGGGGATCCCGTGTCTTTCTTCACCCCATCCCTGCTGTAAGCATGTTCTCACTGCTTGTTGGTAGCCAGGAACACTTTGTCCGCTGCCAAGCCGGTGTTTGTGCTACATGTAACCCTAGTGCGGCCGTACGTTCCCTGGTATTCCCTCCCGCCTGTTCACAGAGCAATCCGACCCAAACACCGCATTCCTACTCAGACTCCTGGGTCAAGCACATGGGACAAGTTACAGTGTCCAACTGCATACACATGGGCTGTGTGGGGAGGGGACTTCAGGTCAATACTCAATGATGAATGAACACTAGTGCAGGGTTCTAGCCAGCACCGTTTTTCGTTTTTGCAGGAAGTTTGTAGCCTGAGTGTCATCCTTTTTAGCTTTTTTTTTAACGGAGTAGTTCAATGCAAGGCCTACTAAGACCACTTCTCCGCATTGAACTAGAAATATGAGAGAAACATGGCTATGTCAAGAGATGGCGGTGAATGTTTGATTTGAAAGCCTGTAGATTGTAGGTTGGTGGGAAACACTTGTCAGGGAGGGAATTCCAAAGCTTGGCCGTACGGGGAAAGAAACTATCACTGTAAAAAGATTTCGAACAAGGAATTTGGACGGTGAAGTTGTGTGAGCTATTAGAGAACCTAGTGGAACGCTTAAAAGTTCTGAGTGGTGGAACTAGTTGGGTGATGGTTTTTTGATCGTGCATAGCAGACGAAAGCTGAAAAGACTGACACTCAGGCTAGGAACTTAACAGCGTATGAGGGAAAATTTTTTAAGCCAATCCTTCAACCTCGATTCCACTGGACAAAATTGACAAAAATATTGGGTAAAAATTTAAAAAACACCCAAAGGAGTGCTTGCAATCTAATGGGGTCCAGGGACAAAATTTCAGATTTTAAAGCTTTTAAAAACACAATTTCCCACATTTTGAGAGGTTGATTTTGTCTGTCAAGGTTGATGAATTCAAACTTTTTCCGTCACACGCCACAAAGTTGGTGACAATTGACAGAAAAACAGGTGCTGGCTAGAGCCCTGACCAAGACTCATACGAATAGGACTCAGGATTAGCATTGCTTTTAACAATGATTCCCTATGGACAGAAGAGGTTGAAAGACTCAATAGGTTAGATGAAACAGACTGGATGAAATATGATGTGGTTATGACACTGCAGCTGAAAATCTCAGCCATTATTATAGAAAGTTTATTGCAAATACATGCCCGAGGGCTAATTGCAGTTACAAACAACAAAAGAAAGAAAATACAATGGTATGTGAGACTATATCTACATCCGTAACATTATACTATACTCTATAGAAGAAAGACAGGAAAGTTGAGAAGGGAGAAGTGGCGTGTTCTCTGTTGACAGGAATGCCAAAGATTTGGATCAAATATTCATGCTAAATAATAAGCTTCAGACTAAGCCGTACGTACGTAACCCCCTGAACACGACACTCCCAGACTGTCTCGCACAACTGGATCTCAGCGTTTTAAGCCCAAGTTTTAACTGGCAAGTGTTAACTCTAATCCCGCTAACAGACGCTTTGGGGAATAAACTCACAGTGGAGCACTTTAGATGGCTCCATTAGTGCTAATGACTTAGATAATACTGTAAATCATGTTTTTTTCATGGTACATTTATATTCGCATTTTTTTACAGTCACTTCTGTACCACGAATTTATCATTACGTGAAAATTTAATTCGCTGACTTTCTTTTCTCTGAATCTGCCGCCACCGCGAACATAATCTTCCGCGGACATGTCTATTTTTCTCAGACCGCGAACTTTTGCTACCGCAAACGTAAAGTGATTTACGGTAATGATGGGATTAGAATCTGTACATAACAAATTAGAACATCACAAGTCACTCTGGAACTCTTAGCGCCGCTACAAGGGTGCTCAAGCCATTAACACAAAAATGTCTGAACCAGTTAACAGAAATATCTATCTAGAGAAAGCTAGAGAACCTGGTATAAGATAAAAAAGATCTAAGATACTGTAGTTTTTACTAAATTGTTACAGTGAGCAGGGCTCTAGCCAGCTTGAAATCTTTTTTGATCAGCCCAGGTTAATACATGTAATCGGACCTGGGGGGAGAGTACTTACAATCTAGTGGCGTTTAGGGACAAATTTCGGATTTTCAAGTCTTTAAAAACACAACTTCCCACATTTTGAGAGGCAAATCATGGGGTTGAGAGTGGTTGTTGGTGGTCCTTCCGATGTTTTTATATATTTGTACCTAATTAGGCCATTTGATTATATGGATGACATCCGCGCGCGCATGAATTTTCGGCCGTTTCCAAAAAGCTTTCAACCATACTGTAAATCGTGCAAAACAGTTGCTAAATGAGCAAAAATATACCATAAGTTGCAAGGAAAACATTTAGAAACGATACCAATGTCGTAGAATGCCAAAATCAAAGGAAAAAAACAAAAATGTAAAGAAATGAATTCGAAGAGTAGATTATTCCCCATAACATATTCTGTGCCATTTGTTCAACCTTCATGACCAAGTAGATTTCATAGTGAAAGCAACTTTTTTTTTTTGCAAAACTTTTTTTTTATTCGCACGCGCGCATCAGTTTTGGGGTTCCCAGAGGATGTCATCCATATAATCAAATCAACATGTCCTTATAAGATTTTTGTCAATATGTGAATTGTCCATAAAGGTTGACGGATTGGTTTGAAAAGTTTTCCGTCACATGCCGCAATTGACGGAAAAACAGTTGCTGGCTAGAGCCCTGCATTTGTCTGTTGGAATGTTGCTGTGTTATTTTATGACGTCTCACCTCAGGACCATGGTATGGCTTGCCGTTGACGATCTCGGGGGAAGCGTAGAGCGGACTGCCACAGAACGTCTTCAGGAGTTTGTCATGGCTGTACGTGTTAGACAGACCAAAGTCTGCAATCTGTGGAACCAACAACAGGAGCAGGGTTGGACAACTTTTCAAAAACGACCAGGTTTCACTTCCATTATCAATATCATTTACATCATTTGTCATATTTATTGAGTTTGTTTTCTGTATGTTATTAATTTGTCCTGTTTCTTTTATTATCACGATGATTATGATTGTACCTAAGTTAGTTCTTTACTTTTTCTGTTATTATATTATGTATTGTTTCTGTGCAGGGAGCATTGAAAAACGCCATTGGCGATATGCTGCCCCTAGATAAATAAATAAAAATGAAGTGTCATTTTTACTTGCTCAAACCAACTTTTCACTTGCCCAAAACACAAAAAAAAATACAAAAATACAAAAAAATTTCTATGCATTTTTACTTGCTGCAATCTTTAAGGTGCAGAAAAAGATGAGTAATTTTGCTCCAAACAATCCAAGAAGTCCAGGGGGATATGCACTTGCCCGAACAAGGCTTTTACTAATGACCTGGGCAAGTGGACTTATCAAACCCTGAGTAGACTGACTAACAGTAACATCAGCTTGAAAAACAAGTCTGGTAGCTGTCAGTCCTTATACATGTATTCTTTTAAGGAAGCTGCAAGGTCGTCCATGTGTCTGTGAAGGTCGTGAACTGACCTTGACTCTGTTCTGCTGATCAAGTAGTAGGTTCTCCAGTTTCAGGTCTCGATGAACTACACCTTTCTGCAAAACAAACAACAACAGAACGGTGAATAAGAGAAGTAAGGAAATATACACCATATACAGATCATTGATATGCGCATATGTTATGAGAGGTTTTGTATAAAACTCCATAGATGTTAAAGGGGCATCATGTAACATTTTTGCACCATAAAATTTAATATTTGATCTAAAAAAATATGTGTGATTGTAATTTACTTCAACATATTTGTGCAATTATCTCACATTTCTGACATTTATGGTTGGTGCTAAAACAGTCCACACAAGGCACATTCAGTTTGTGGTGCCACCACAAAATACCAGAATGTAAACAAACATGACTGACAGCTCTGTTCTCAGCTCGAAAGATGTCATATTTTGGCACCTCCATTTCCTGAATGGCACTTGCTATGGACTAAGGTTGATTCGACTTACTTTGTAAAGAAATTTTTTTCACATTTGTATCCTTCTGATGTTACAAAAATGCAGCTTTAAAACTTTTTTATGTTATTTTTCCAGTCTTCTTCTCACCTTGTGACAATAGTTGACGGCTGAGACGATCTGCCTGAAGATTCTGCGAGCTTCGGTCTCTGTCAGTCTCTGTCTCTCGCTGATGTAGTCGTACAGCTCCCCTCCTGAGGCAAACTCCATCACCAGTACTATCTTCTCCTTGTTCTCAAACACTGCACACAAAACAACATCAAACACTCAGTCAATATACATGTATGTACCACAGGTCTGTACAGCTTTTAAAGGCATCCAATATAATTCTAGTGGGGCAAAGCAAAAAAAATTTTCTGGATGAGAAAATCTGTATGATTTCATATTTACCACCATTTATTGGCACATTTTTGGCATCATTTCATACTTGAAGTGTTTAAAATAACCTCTAAACAAGTTACATAAGGCATTTTTTAGGGGTACCACCCATAAATACATGTACATGTAGCTACAAGTAGAACCAGCCTACAATACAAAACAAGCAACCATTTTCCGTCAGAAACATCAACATTTTGCCTCACAGATATCAGTACTATACTATTGGATACAATTGATTCAACTTTTAAGAATGACCATGAAATTGACTCTGATAATTTAGCTTTGCTGCCCTGAAATTGCACTGGAGGTGTAGAAGCATTGTCTAACTTCTTACATGTAACACATTTCCCCATCCTCTAAAAAGTAATCTACTCAACAATTTTAAAACCTCAGAACTTGGGAGAATAAGATGAACAGCATTCACATACGAGTCACAAGTCTGGCCTTTAGAAGCTCAAAGATTTGAAAGTTAAAAGCCAGGTAGCCAGGAAGGGTAGTATCAAGTACTCAAAAGTAACACCATAAATTACGGCGTAATATTTCAATTTCAAGCTTCAATACTTGATAGCTAAGCAGCTGCCTTTCAGAACAGAGGTCTTTGACCTGTTGCCACGTTGTTTTTCGTGTAACACCAAGGACAAGTTATTACATCACGACCGTGTAACAACAAAGACCAACAAATCATTTAACCTCTACCTTATGTAACCCTTTTTCCCCGCCATTCATTCACCAGTTACGAAACGCGTCAACGTAGCATATTTTTCACCCATTAGGAGGGCATAGTTTTGTTTCTACAGCAGTATCTTACTACAGATTTATAGCTTTTACCTGTGCAAACATGTTGTAGTCGCGACTTTTCAAACAACAAGGAAACGATCGGTCCAAGTGCAAAACAAGTGCACTTCAGGGTGCCGACTAATAGCCCAGCTGGAGACTTCTTCCCAGAAAGACGCGGTAATCCCTCAAAATTAACCTGTCGCTACGTTTACTCACTTCTGATGAATGTGAATGAAATAAGGTTGGAACAAAGGCAGGCCAGTAAACATGTTTTTGCCAGGAGGTCTTTCAGACAACCTGGCTCCCTTGAGTAGCATGTGTACGGTACATTGTACATGTACCATACATGTACCTATTAGCCTCCATAGCATGCCAAAAACTGGAGTGTTTTGGGGTCTTCAGGGTCTTTTATGTGCTATTTTCTGATTGCATATAGACAACATAGCCGGCCTGGTTGAATTACCTCCATTTTCAGAACTGGGCTAATCAGAAAACAGCCGAAGACCACCAAACCCCCAGTTCTATAAGGTCTCATTCATGTATTACTCCGAGTGTACCCCCTAAAAGAGTACCAAGTCAAAAACTAAACGGCTGTATGAACGCGTGTTTTTATTGGTGAGAATTTTCCCTTTAGCCATCCCAACTGATGTAAAACGTCAAAGCGGTGAAAGCTTGTTTGTAACTGATGAAATTAGGACGTAATTGTCGGCAGCCGCGCGCTAGGTCGGACGTGCACAGTCCATTGTTGTGAGTTGTGCGGTCGTAGGTTTGCAGCGCGGGAGGGCCTCTTGCGGACAGTTGCTAAGTGCAGTTTGTGATTCCCATAAAACAGGATTGTGTGTATAGAAGTCGTTGGCAATTTTTTTATGAGACGTAGAGTAAGTGTGCTCAACATAGCATGAAAGATATCAATTGATTTAATGTAGGATCATAGGGAACACGGTCTCGTAAGTCACTCATTAATGCATGGTTTCTAATGTATGGAAAAAACTCATGAATGAGACCATAAGCCTGCTACGGAGGCTACACACATTTTTTTATGATTTTTAAACCTTATAATATTACAGTGCTTGAAATACCCATCTGCATTCTGCATTTTGTAGAGAGATAAAAATCCTACAATCTGCGATTTTGCATTATCAAGTTGAGAAGGTTGTAGTATGGAGGCTTGTGTACTTGCAAAAAGTGTTTCCAAATTGCAGAACAAAATTTTGACTCATCTGCAATATTGCAGTGCACCGAAAAAAAAAGTATTTCTACCATTGCCATAGCTGACTGCACATAGGACGATTATGCTAGCCATTGGCAAGTCACAGACATTTCTAAATTGGAAAGATGTTGATTGACATGCGCCTGCCAATGGGCACTTTGTCAAAGTTTGTGGTGCAATGACCTTTTGACGTCTACTACTAAAGTAACTATCGTAAATTTGTAGTTAACCATTTTTATTACAATAAAGGCGAATATCAACAGGAGTGAAGGTTATTTTTATACCTGTGCTTTGATGCTAAAAACAGGTATTTATGTAGCTAGATTTGAAGCGTACCAGACTGGCCGTCTCCTGTAAGTAGCTTGACCACCACTATAAACATACATTAGCACCAAGTGGCCAATGTCACCATGTGTGTAGTGGTGGTGTTTGTATCAAGTTCAAAATGTTACCGCTATGAACAACTGCTTACTGTGTCTTTCAGGGAGACACTTTGAAGCCTTATCTTTGTCTTATATTTGGTTTATCCAACTTCCCATTAAGTTTAACATCTCTGTAAAGAGCTTAGTTCTTTTTATGACTGAAGATAGTGCCCCCATGTGTTTAACATATGCTGACAAGGCCAAGAGTGTAAGCAGCTTAACCGATAAGCCTGCACCTGTTGGAATCTCCGCCCGTGCCTAACACTTCAGAGGCATACTTGGGGAAAACGGACATTTGCCCCCAGGCAGTGTGTTACTGAAATCTCTGCAAGAATTCTTTGAAGTGCCAGCAAGAATGTGACCTCAGGTGGGGGTTTGGCCCTTACATGAAATTAGAATGTAACCTTTTTGCACCCATTGTATAAGATTGAGTTACACCTGAGATATGACCATAGGATAAGGAGGGAAGGGGTTTCAAGTTTGGTTAACTTTAATCCTTTGGGGGGACAGACAAGAAAATAAGATGGGGAAGAGGGATTGGATGAAAATTGGAAAAAGGTACACACTTACAAGTAACAATAATAAGATTTACGTTGCTTATTCTCTTCATTTGACACTCCCTAAAAATAATGCTAATGTTTTCTTGCATTGTGATAAAATATACTGGTATCTAGGAGAATTATTCAAAAGAATTGGTACTTCTGATAAAGGGCAATGTATAATATATAAAATACCAGCTTGCAATACAAATCGAGACATCACATAAAATTTTTTTACCTCACATACATCAGTATTTAATAGGGTTGATGAAACTTTCTACATTAAAAGAATGACGAGAAAATTGACTTTGAAAATCCAGTTTTGCCATCCCGAAATTGTATTAGACGATACCTGACGATCTCCCAAAGTCTACAAAGTACAATCCTTGAGGAGAATATTTTACGTTATATGCTAAACCCTAATCTCCAAGCAGATCATACGGTGGCAAGGCAGTGTCCATTGGCCAGAGGAGTGTCCACTAGCCATCTCTGGCCATACTCTCTAAGCAGAGGTTTGGGGTTATTTTTGGTGGTTTTTAGGCTTTTTTATTTATTTTGTTGGCTTCTTTTTTGCACCAGAATTTTTTTTCACCCAAAAATAACACAAAAGTGGCAAAACCCAAACCTCTGCTTGGAGAGTACTCTGTCCAATGGATACTACCTTGCCACCGTATGATCTGCTTGGAGATTACCTAAACCCCAGCTGTAGAGTGTTAGGTTAATGATGTAGAGGGTACCTGAGTGGGTTGGGACAAAGCCTGGAATGTTCCCTTTGTATGAATCACAAAGGCGGCAGTCATGATCTCATTTACCACTGATTAGACCCACGTCTCGTCAGGAATGTCACCGTTTGTGGGACCTCCAATTTTGCCAGCCTCGGGGGACGTGACAAGACCTTCAGGGACCTTAATTAATTAGTCCACCTTTTAACCTAAGTGAGGTAAAATTAAGGTGGAAACTTGAGTCACTTTTGACAGGTGTCCTTGACGTGTGTGAAATCATCATCATCACAGCTTGTGAAAGAATGTTCAAAATCACGTTTTCATATCTAGGACAGGTCCCACTTGTTGGTCACAGCATTATCATTTTTCCCTACTTTTCCATTTAGCTATTTATGGGTGGTACCCAAAAATAAAGACACCTCCTGTAGCCTGTTTTTCGGCTATTTCAAATGCTTTGAGTATGAAATGATGGCAAAAATATGCTAAGAAATGGCAGTTAATTTCAATATCAGGCAGATTTCTTTATCCAGACATGGCAGAAAATTTTCTGTTTTGTCTGATGAGTAAAGATCTTTTTACATAACCAAGTGTTTTATTCAGCCAATGTTTCAGTGACCGTCTGTCACCTTCCTCAGGACAATTCTGACTGGTTCACATTGTACTGCAGCACAGGTGTCACTGCTATAGATGCATTACCTAACGTACACTTGGTTGTGTAAAAAGAGTCTCTTTACTCAGTAACTTACCAACCTGATGAAACTATCCACTGTTTTGTCTGATATTACCTTTAATGTTTTTAAGCACTTCCCCCTTTGCCTCCCAACAGGATACACGATGTCTGACTTGTCTATAATTACAGAGGAGCCAGATTCAGTCTGGTCTCCAGAACAAGTGCTGAATTGTCCGCCCAACAACAAGGCAGTCTTTATTTGCCTTCCAAAATTGAAAAAGAGCTTACTTGTTCTTTATCCAAACATCCTGTTATACAGATCTATATCAGTTTGAACTCTGTCATGTTTCTTTGTGAATTATACAAGTCTTAGAGGATTACAAACAGCAAAGTTAAGGTTGTAGATTCTTAAGATTACTTGAAGCATCCTTGTGTCAAAATGACAGTTTGGTTTTGATTAAAAAACGGCACAGCAATACATTTCAACTCCATACACTGTCATCCACTGACTACCACATTGGAAA